GACTTCAGTAGTTAATACAAGCTCCGTAATCGAATACTAGTATTTCAAAATCCCATTTTTGCTCAACATTTGCTGCACTGCAGTCTCTTTAGCGGGTCTATATACACAAAATCCAAGTTTCATCCCAAAAAGCCGAAAAACTGAAATTCCTCAAAAGCTTTTCAAGGTGATTAAGCTCTGCATAAGACAATTCGTGCGTTGTTGGATAGAAAATCAGGATCAGTCAGATTCTTAAGCTACTATTCAGTCTGCGTAATTGGAGGTGATAGTATTTATAGCGTTTTTAGGTATGACTTCACAAAGCTGCTCCCATATAACATTAGACCTTTCTTTTCATTATTTGAAATTGATTGAAGTTTGTCAAGTATAGAAGCGGAGTCAAGCTTGAAGAAACGATCCTGTAGAGCAGTCGTGAAATAAGCCCTAAGAGGGGCTTTGGAGCTCATGAGGCCATCTTTGTGCTTTGACCGGCTTGGAAGTTGAAGAGTGTATGAAAAATGTTATTTTTTGAAGTTATCTCGTTCATTTAAGGTTGCAATAGCGTCAAAGGAGTCTGTAACGGATTATGTGAAGACGGCCGGTTTGGCATTGCTTGGAACTATGGACCAAGCGGCCCAGTTGGAGATGATATTGGACGAGTCGGAAGCCGTAATGAAGTTCATCACCGATCCGCAGACCCAAGTATTGGTTGTCGATCGGACAGTCCATCGAGGTGAATCATCCCAGATGTTCCTGTTTTCCACTAGAGTTCCGCATAGATGATGTTCACGTGATGGGCTATGATGCTGCCTATGAGAAAAATGCGTTGGTTTTCAGATCAGTCCGGAGATACGGATACAGGGGATGAGAGTGAATCGGTTGTTGCGGTGTTCACAGTACGTAACGATGTCCTTTATCGTACGGATAAAAGTACGTCGATCGTGTATATGAAGAGAGGCGGCATACTAGAGGCCGATAAGCCGATTGCAGATCAATTAAGGGTGATAGTGTAAGTATAAATATTTCTTAACATTTAGCCATTATTTTGCCATCTTGAAAGGCTGTCGATATGCACAGGCTTGTTTTAGGTTGAATGAGGGCAACCCCTATGAGACATTGTTTTCACTAATCGGCAAGGCAGTTACTCCCTATTTCAAGTCATTCATAAAAGAGAGCGGTCGAGGTGAACGTGATGGTGACAAACTGGCACCAACTGTTGAGAAGAATCTCAATGAGGCTGAGGTTGGTTTTCGAGTTAATGTGCAGTCAGTTTGAATCACGAAATGACAAATAGTTAAGGTGGCGTTGCTACATCTTCAACAAAACATTGACATTCCTGAAATTAACCTTGTAATCAATCCTCATATCCAAGCCGCAATACAGAAAGCTAGCAAAGAGGGCAGAAAAGCGAAGGTAGGTGGCATTAAAGGCTGTTTCGAGTGATTGCAGAGCTTTATAGAGATCTCGTCTAGGTAACCGATTTGGGCGATCTCGTTGAAGATGCACAATTTTTAAACAGTCTTCAGTCTGGAGTGAATAGATGGATCAAGGAAATACGGAAGGTTGGTTTTTTGACGCAAATGCTTACCTTACATTTCACTTGTTGATCGGTTTTAGGTGACAAAATTGGAACGTGATCCCGGCTCAGGCTCATCACTTCAAGAAATGACTTTTTGGCTCAACTTGGAGCGTGCCTTACAGAAAATTCTTCAGAAAAGAGAATCTGAAGAGGTCTGTGAATGTGTACTGTACTGCATTGATATTGCATTCAATCATGCACCGTTCTCCGCCTTTTAGGTCACACTAACCCTTGAAGCGCTTAAATGTGGAAAAAGATTTCATGCGACAGTCTCGTTCGATACGGATACAGGTAGGTATAGTGCTCCCATGTTATTTATTTTGTTTGCTGTGAGCTTCCTCCCATTAAGGCTTGAGGCTCTTACATATTTTTTGTCATATGGCCGTGATTTTCCCGATCTACTGCTACAAGTCTTTCTCTAGGCATCTTCTTTTTTCCTGGTGGAAAGACTCCACGAGCCGCGTACTGTCCTTTTACTCTATAACTTCACCAGATGGGGAGAAAAATTCCTGAAGGTGCTCCCTAAATTCAGTTTTTTCTCAGGTTTGAAGCAAACGCTGGCCCTAGTGACCGATTACAACTCTCTAATGAAGGATTTCCCATTGAATGAATTGGTATCGGCTTCCGATTTGGACTCGATCAAAATTGCTCTGGGTAACGTCTTCGGGCATATGAAGAAGATTAGGTTCGTGTCAATATCTTACAACTTTTTCTCTTTTTGTTGTTAAGGTCCCAGTGCTAAACTTTTGAAAAGTATTTATTTTCAATCACGTCCGGTGCTAAACATTCGTAAAAAGTTTACTTCCAGAGCTACTAAGTATCCAGTTCAACGTGCTTTGAGGTTTATTGAAGCAATTTCGCGTGACATGAATGGACAAATACTAAAGGTACAAGTCTTTTTTTCTCACCGTCAGCAAGAGCGAATAAGCATATTGAATAACATTCAGGTACTCGGTACTCGTCGTCTAATGCATATTTCTATTGTCGAATTTGATCAACTTATGATGCAATGTATACAGTTATTCAATAAGTGGGATGATGAATATGACAGGTAAGGTTCCGCTTGTAATCTCGAGCGATCGGAAACAATACTCCCACTAATCAACTAGACGGCTGTTAAAATCCTGTAGTAGTGCCGCAACTCCCACATCTTGTCCCGTACCGCTTGAGGACTGAAAGTTAAAGATGATTCCGAAGTAAGTGCGGTTGCTTTTCAAGGTTTCTGTGTCAGGTCTCAATAATTAATAAGTATCTCTTCCTTAGCCCATTGTATCGCTCTCCTCCCGTGATTATAGTCAAAAAAAGAAAGCGCGACGGAACCAGTGAGAGCTATGTGGCACGGTGGCTACCCGCTTGACCAATGACGCTCGCCAAACGGAGCGTCTTGTTCAGATCAAAACGGCGATCTCCCGAACGTTTTGTTCTTCAGATTTGCCATGTGAAAATCGCATTCCTTTGCTGTCTCGTCGCAAGTTTGGGGTATAACATTTTCATTTTCTCCATGATTTATAGACAGCACGAACAACTTCGAGTGGTGATTGCTCGTGTTCTCCGCCCGGCTGGAACGCCATCCACCGAATCTCAACCAGAAACTCAGTCACACGGCGGTGAAATGACCCCAGTGGACCAGGTTAGTCTTTTTTCTTGTTTCGCCGCATTTATTGTCGTTACTTCTTTGATTTCCAGGTTAACCTGGCATACGAGTTTGTCAAAGAAGTGGATTGTCTGGACGTGAGCATTGAAGGCACCACGGCTTGGGATGCTGCCCAGCGCAGGTACAGGAATTACTGTTGGAACAACATGGCGCGTTTTTTTTGAACTGCGCTGAAATTGCAAAAAATAGGAGATTATAACGGTGATGGGATAACGTAATGGGTTACATTGAAAATATATGAGTTTCAGGTATGAAGAGCAGATTGCCCGCGTTGAAACTGCGATTACATCGAGGCTCAGGGATCAACTGGGCTCAGCTCGCAATGCAAACGAAATGTTCAGCATCTTCAGGTTAGCGATTGGTTGCGGTCGCAAATAGCATAACACTCATAATTGCAAGACTTGCAGCCGTTTCAATGCGTTGTTCTGCCGTCCACAAATCCTTGGAGCGGTTCGCGAGTACCAAACTCAGCTAATCCAGAGAGTGAAGGAGGATATCGAGAGGCTGCAGGTGAGGGTTTGTTGGCTTCCTCTTCTGTTCTGGTTCCTGATGTTATTTTGCAGGCTAAATTCACGAAACATTACGCTGAAAAGCGTGGCGAAATTCTGACGCCGACGTTCGACATACCACCAGTGTCGGCGAACATTATTTGGATTCGACAGATTGAACGTCAACTAACCCTGTACATGCAGAGAGTCGCATCAGTTCTAGGAACAGGCTGGGAGAACCACGTCGAAGGTTGGTTGCTTTCGCTTTGTTTTTGTTGTGGAGAAGGACATTCAGTCTGATTTTGATGATCTGAAATTTGTTCACGTGGCGCACGATGGCTGGCCAGGGTAATGCACGCTAACCATAATACTTTAGATTCGTGTTTTACTTTCATAGCTGTGCAGGATTACTTTGCGAGCTAAAAATATTTTCATCTCTCTCGCAAATATTTTAGTTGTGGGGTTTTCGTTAAATTTCCATATTGTTATTCGGGTCTATTCCAGTTAGGGGGGGGGCATCATGATGCAGTTTTTCCAGAAAGCTAGGCAACTCCGAGCCAGGGGGAGTGTAGCCAGTCTAGGGGGTGTGGGGGGGGGTGAGGGCAGTCACTTGACATGCGTGAAAGCTGGAATGTTCGAGTTCACACTTA